TTTTTTTTTGGCTTGGGTTGTATTGCGATGAGCTCACGATGGGTGTCTTTCCCAGCCAGTACCGGGGAAGTGACGGTTACCCCGGCTTTCCCATCTTTTGCGGAAGGCAATCCTCCAATAGCAGCCTCGGCATCGCAAGTGGTGGTGTAATCCGCCCTCACAGTGAGTTACGGACCCAAGTGCCTTCCCGCAGCAAGATAACCCTGATTAGGGTATCCATTGCTTCTTTCATGGTTCTAGACAGCCAGTATCGGACGATCCTTGCAGTATCAGTCCCAGTCTTTGGGTCATTCATCCGTCCAGAGTTTTTCTTGCCCATGTTGTTTCTTCCCCACACTTTGCATGTTTATAGCAACATTGCTCCACAAGACCATATCAAAAGTTCCAAACGTCGGTGGCCTGGAAACCAACTCCCGGTTGATTTGGTAACCCATACCTTCTTGGTATTATTTTCTTTTTTCTTTTTTCTCTTTTTTGCCCCCTTCTCCCAATAATATTCTAGTAACACTCCCTTTTGCTAGCCCACTAAGGATCGGCGACAGTACTTTTGCTGCTTAGTGCATGAAGCTTCCAAAAATTGATAATCCGAGACAACCATGCCTGAGTTGATAGCATAGGTACGTAGACAATCTTTTAGATCGGAGCATTCCATCCACAGGAACCCAAGATTCTTCGAGTAACCTGCCTCTTAGGCCAGATCCACCCTCCTGGCCGGGGCAAAATCCCCCTTACACCAATTTAGGGGTCTCATCGGCAAGCCGTTCATGGTCAAGCGGGACACAGGGGCCAAGCATAAAAATTCATATACAACGAAAGGGTAGATCATCCCCTAGTCGGTCGGAGAATAAGGATCAAATTAAAATAGACTGACTGTTGAGATCCCGATAAATTAAGCTCCCCCTGTGGCTGGAGCTAGGGCCCAATCATCTCGGTTACCTATTTGGGTATTCCGTGAAAGAACCCTGAATCATGTGTGCCTTCAGATTTTTTCGCTAGTGCTCACATAACACCGTATAATAATCTGCATGTAGGACGGTATGCATTGAGGAGGTATCCGCAAGAGATTAGGTATTGATCATTTGACAGTGGTCGCTTTTTTGGCCGCCGACACTGCCCCAGGCCGATAGGGTTGCTTGTAATGGGCCTATGCGGTAACACTCCTGGTTTCACAATGCTTCTTTCAAAGTCTAGGGGATCTTTCAGTTTGTTTGGCGCCAAAGTGCTGCTTCTTATAGGCTTCTTTGCTGGTCAGACTTCACCCCAGGTGGTTTCAGAGGGGATTGTGTTGTACTTTGTATAATCACACCATTATCCAGCCACATGGACAAGCCTAGTTAGTTTTGATCAGAGAAAGTCAATTGGCTTTGGAAGGGTATAGCAGTAAGACATTTGGTTCTCATTCCCAAGTTGAGCCTCAATGGCTTGCAGAGACGGAGAAAGTAAAATAAATATGAAGCTTCTGATCGGATCCGGCAGGTGTCAAGCCTGCAGGGGCTAACCAAATCCCGTCTAGTCGGAGCCCTTCAATGAAGGTTAAGTTCAACAAACAGAACCTGAGGCAAAGCATGACCACAAGACCTAAAAGGTGTCAACACGGAGAGTCGCGCTCTCACCTCTCTCTCTCATTGTCTCTTTCAATGATTATAACTCTCATTAGGAGACGTTCGTTCTCACAGGGAAGTCATGGCCACCTACCATATGCAATGGTATGTGGCAGTCTAGTACGAACAGTGACGCCGATGTTGTCCTAGCCTCCGAGCCCTCTAACTTAATAAAGGTTAGGGACCGCTTAGGCAGTAATTTCCCCGGTCCCTTCTCCATAAGTTAGGAGTCCCTCCCGGGGGACGGTGGAGGGGTTAGGCAGTCATATTACCCCATGACAATAGTAGATTCCTAATTTTATGCTAAGAATACATTACATGACCATACTCATAACTCGTTTCTTGGGAATTGGACTTCCTAGTATCCCGCGTTGGCATATCCACCTGATACAAACGCTGCGGGCCCAATGCTTCCATTTGCGTTCCCGAAGTCTAACTTCATTAGCAGTCGGTCCACCCCGGCCGCTTTCCTGGGCACATAGTGACCCATGTTGGCCTCAGTACCCGTGACATTCTGCTGGTACATTGACCAGTTCTCACGTGGGTTTTTCGACATATCAAACATGGTTCGTCCTTCCCCAGACCGGCTATCGTCAATGTCTTTCAACCGTGCTACAAGAACCTTGATTCCCGTCTCAACTTCGCCTCGCGCTGCACTGAGCGCTTGCCATACTTCCTTCTCTTCCCCAGCGTAATCGACCAAGGAGTCAACGACACCTTCGTCTGTCTCCAAGTCCATATTGCGCTGAATGCTTTCGAGACGGACCACAAGTGCGATAAAATGGTCGACATTGGTAAGTAGGAACCGAAGGGCTTTTGTGAATGGTCTTTCGGTCAAAAAGAGTGCCTGAACCATGGTGAAGAGGTATCGACGATGTGCGACCGTCAATGTTTCGGGATCATGCTGTGTCCTTGGCAACTGAGTCGATCGGTCCAAGCCAGCTTCAGACGTTTCCTCAGAGGCCATGCTGTTATAATTTGGTTTGCTTTTTGACGATGACAAAGTTCCAGGTCGGGAATTCGTGGACGAAGTTGGAGCACCTCCAATCCATTCACGGAAGTGCTGCCAAGAACCATTGATAACCTCTCCTTGAAAAAAGCTGCCTACTTCTGATAATACAAAGAGGGAGGCACTGCACGTAGCCCAGACAGGTCTCATCTGACGGGTTCGGGTGTTGTCTCTTTGCCTCCCCGCTCTGAGCTTGTTCTGGCCAAACTGGGAGTTGCTCCTGGGTGGACCCAATGGGGAAGGGTGAATCTTTCGCAGGAATGTGTGTTTCCAAAGGTCCCCCAAGTGTAGTTGCGCTCGTCGAATACCCAGAAGATAGGAGTGAATTTTTGAATATATTAAAACGTCTGAAGCCGAGAGAAATAGATCCAAAGGTGGGTGCACTTGTGCTGAGAGAGCCGTTGGAGATGGGAACAGGAGGTCGTCGAAAGGGATATCTGAGATGTTCGCTACGTAGTCAGGCCCACTCGCTGAAGGCGTCGCCGCGACTGAGTGCCCTTTTCTTTTATCATTCATTGATAGCTGTAGAAGGCTTCTCGCAAGATCAAGCTCATCATCTACAGGATCTTCCTCGTTTTGCAACGCATACAGCTCAGCCAACGCTTGCGACAAAGCATTCGCAACATCGCCCTCTTTGATGGAAAGCCCTTGGAGGCCCTCGGAAATTTTGCCTCTGGAAGCCAAAGTTCCCGGTCGTCGATGTCTTTCAAGTAGACGAGCATCGGCATGTGATACAAGCGCCGACGCAAACTCGCCACGTCTCAGCAACAAGAAATCATGAAGGACAGCCAGTATCTCGAGGATCTTAGGGAGCGGTAGCAGTTTAGAGAGTGTGCTTTGCGATAATGATAGCCGAATGGAATTTATGCTATTGGATAGTTTGGCGGTCGATATGGGTGATTTCAGTGTAGCAAAGTGCTCGATATGTTCCCCGTGTAGAGTGACGGGCGTAGTTAAAAGGCCTGTTGGAGGACCTGTTGTAGAGCCACTGCGCTTTGCCCTGATAAGGTTTAATGTTTTCCCAATAAACAGGATAGATAAAGCTGTGTCAGGGGAGACAAATTTTGGTTGCAAGTTTGTTCGTAGAACAAAGTGTGCCACGGCAGGGGCACGATTGCTCTCAGTTATGCTATCCTCTTGAATGAAGAAATCATCCTTGCCTAGCACAGGAAGGTTCCCATACAGTAGCCACGTCGACAGCTGCCTCATCCAAGCTGTTTCAGCTGCGCTGATTAGGTGTAGCGCCATCTCACCAATGTCAATATATCCGGTTTGCGATTCCGCCCGAAGATAATCGATCAGTGCTGCGCCCGTGCAGATCTGATTGCTGGCTTTCTTGTGATCAGGAAGAATAAATTGGGCAATATCCCAGAGCCATTCAAGCCGTCGGGTCCAGGGAGAGAATTCGCCGACCATCGTTGACAGCGGCACGATTCCGTAACCACCAACATACTCGCTATCTTCCACCAGAATTGATTTTTCTACTTCAAGTACCTTTCGTTGGAAATCCCCAAGATGTTGTGTATTGATTGCAGTTGAAGCAGCTCGGCATATGACAGAATGGTGTGAGGCAGAAATCAGAGCTGTATGAGCTCGCAGTTTAGCATGAAGTCGGCTCAAACGGGCAAGGGAGGCGAGGAGGGCTTTCTCCGGAGGTGACAAGAGAGGAAACGCATCCTCAGAGACCGCATCTTCTTCGGCATGGGTTTCGAAAAGTGGTGACGGTTGGCCGGAGAGGGAGAGAAGGATTTCGTGGAGCATTCTGTTTGGAGTTCTCTACAAAAACCGTTGAGATATATGCGTGATAAGGGAGCTAGCACTATTGCCAGGCCAGCCTACCTTAAAGCGCTGTCTTTGTCCGCGCTGGACCTTTTACGCTGCCAGTATAAAAGTCCGCGTCCAAGAAGCTCGTACCGACACATGTACAGTGGCCGACAGTCAATAGCTGTCGAGGGTGCTGCCTTCGTTCAGCCCGATATTGCGGCGCGTCGCGTGATGCGGAGTTGCAGAGTATCTCCGTGGGTATGTAGCTAATGGAGGGAGGCAGGGATTGTTCTAGAGGATGGGACCTATGGTTGCAAGTCAGTATTGGCTATTTGAGCTCTAGGTTACCTTCAGATCTTACCCATTGTACCTGTCATTATTATTTCCGTCACCGCCCTCAATCGAGCTCTCATACTAGGTGTATGTCGTAGTTCATTGGCAATCTGGCGGTCATCTTCCGCTCGCGGGGCAATGACCAATCACCGCGTACCAATGCTGAGTCAGCCACCGACAGCTTGTCCCTCTTACGTCGCTGGAGGAGACGTTTCCATCGTAACAACGTTGTCTCTTTTTCCCCATCTTTCTCTGTCGTTCTGTCAGTTTGTTTTTCAGTCTCGCATCTCAACATTTTCTTTCATTTCCTCCATCTCTCATAGGAGGCTTCTGTACAATACTTTAGAGTGAGAATAATCACCGCCGCTCTCCCCCCGGTACTTTGACCGCTACCCCTCCTAAGCCCGCGCCGGGAGCTGTAGATTCGAGTCAAATCACTGTTGGAAAGTCTTGCTTGAAGGCAAGGCTTTCGGCTCACAGATCGCCACAATTACCTCCGAAATTCCCGTTCGCGACGCTGCGAAGCTGGGAAAGCGAAGAGCGTCTACCGAGAAATCCCCAACTCGGCCGGAGAAGAAGATCATGACGGTATGCCTCATGATCAACCATCCATTCCTAAAATTTCTTTTCGTCCATCATCGCTGACAAGATATAGGACGTCGAGATGAAGGTTGATAACCCACAGGAAACTGTGGAGAAGATTAAGCAGGGGGAGATCGATGAGTCTCTCTACAGTCGACAGCTGTGAGTGCCTCCGGTATCCAGCGGCATATTTCGTCTCGCAAGGTCTTATACTGACTAATTTCCTTTTCTACCCATAGGTATGTGCTTGGACATGAGGCTATGAAGCGCATGGGTACTTCGAATGTCCTTGTTGTCGGACTGAAGGGCCTTGGTGTGGAAATCGGTATGTACGACGGTAGCTGTATGCGGTACGATCGACTCTAACAGCTGTATAGCCAAGAACATTGCTCTTGCCGGTGTGAAATCTCTCACTCTATACGATCCCGCGCCCGTTGCCATCTCAGACCTTTCCTCCCAGTTCTTCCTTCAACCTCAAGATGTCGGCAAGCCGCGTGCCGAAGTGACGGCCCCTAAGGTCGCCGAACTCAATTCATACGTTCCCGTCACGGTACACGAAGGCGGTAACCTCGTAGATGACCTGGAGCAGCTGAAACGCTATCAGGCAGTGGTCCTTACTCTCACGCCTCTGAAAGATCAACTTGCTATTGCGGACTTCTGCCACAAGAATGGCATCTACCTTACCATTGCCGACAGTTTCGGTCTTTTCGGTTACCTCTTTAACGATTTTGGAAAGAACTTCACTATTGGTGATGCTACTGGTGAAGAGCCTGTGAGCGGCATTGTGGCCGGCATTGATGAGGAGGGTCTAGTGTCTGCTCTTGATGAGAGCCGACACGGTTTGGAAGATGGAGACTATGTGACATTCACCGAGGTGAAGGGCATGGATGGCCTGAATAACTCTGACCCTCGCAAGGTCACTGTTAAAGGCCCTTACACGTTCCATATTGGTGATGTCTCTGGTCTTGGGACGTACCAGTCTGGCGGTATCTTTACACAGGTCAAGATGCCCAAGTTCGTCGACTATCAACCCTTGGAGGAACAGCTGAAAAAGCCTGAGCTTATGATTTCGGACTTTGCCAAGTTTGACCGGCCGCAACAACTACACATCGGTGTCCAGGCGCTTCACAAATTTGCCGAGGGCCATGATGGCCAGCTTCCTCGCCCTCACAATGAGAGTGATGCCCAGGAGGTCCTCAAGATCTCTAACGACCTCTCCTCGAGCCAGGAAGAGAAGGTAGATTTGGATGAGAAGCTCATTAAGGAGCTTAGTTACCAAGCACGCGGTGATCTCAGCCCCTTGGCCGCCTTCTTTGGCGGCGTTGCAGCACAGGAGGTCCTCAAGGCTGTCTCCGGAAAGTTCAGCCCTGTTAAGCAATGGCTCTACCTAGACTCGCTCGAGTCGCTTCCGGCTTCTACTACCCGGTCTGAAGAGAGTTGCAAACCACTTGGAACCCGGTATGATGGTCAGATTGCTGTCTTTGGTAAAGAGTTCCAGGATAAGATCGCCAACACTACCCAGTTCCTTGTTGGTGCAGGTGCAATTGGATGTGAAACCCTCAAGAACTGGGCCATGATGGGTTTGGGAACTGGCCCTAAGGGCAAAATCTATGTTACCGATATGGACCAGATCGAGAAGAGCAACCTCAACCGTCAGTTCCTATTCCGCAGTAAGGATGTTGGCAAGCTCAAGAGTGAGTGTGCCTCCGCTGCTGTTCAGGCCATGAACCCCGAGCTAGAGGGCAAGATTGTCGCATTGCGGGACCGTGTCGGACAAGACACTGAGCACATCTTCAATGAGGAATTCTGGGAGGGATTGGACGGGGTTACCAACGCACTGGACAACGTTGATGCTAGAACTTACGTTGATCGTCGTTGTGTCTTCTTCCGTAAGCCTCTCCTCGAGAGTGGCACTCTTGGCACCAAGGGCAATACCCAAGTTATCCTTCCACATATCACCGAGTCCTACTCCAGCTCCCAGGATCCCCCTGAAAAGTCCTTCCCCATGTGCACTCTGAAGAGTTTCCCCAACCGGATCGAACATACCATTGCCTGGGCCAGGGATCTTTTCCAGACCTATTTTGTTGGCCCCCCTGAGGCTGTCAACATGTATCTGTCACAGCCAAACTACATTGAGCAGACGCTTAAACAGGCTGGCAATGAGAAGCAGACCCTGGAGCAACTGCACGATTTCTTGGTGGCCAATAAGCCATTGACTTTTGACGATTGTATCGCCTGGCTCGCCATCAGTTTGAAGGTCAGTACAACAATGCAATTCAGCAGTTACTGTACAACTTCCCTCGGGATTCCACGACCTCTTCTGGACAGCCTTTCTGGTCCGGCCCCAAGCGTGCTCCAACACCTTTGAAGTTCGATAGCTCGAACCCCACTCACATCGGGTTCATCATCGCCGGAGCGAATCTCCACGCTTTCAACTATGGGATCAAGAGCCCGGGAGCAGACAAGGAATACTATCGCAAGGTTGTCGACAATATGATTATCCCTGAATTCTCCCCCAAGTCCGGTGTGAAGATCCAGGCCGATGAGAACGAGGCCGACCCGAACGCTGGGAATGGCGGCTCGTCTTTCGATGACAACGAGGAGATCCAGCGTCTGGTCGACTCTCTGCCATCGCCGAAGTCACTTGCTGGATTCCGCTTGGACCCAGTTGAGTTTGAAAAGGATGATGATACCAACCATCATATTGACTTCATTACTGCAGCCAGCAACCTCCGTGCCGACAACTACGAAATTCCCCAGGCTGACCGCCATAAGACTAAATTTATAGCTGGCAAGATCATTCCTGCTATTGCCACGACCACCGCGCTGGTTACTGGACTGGTTGCCCTGGAGTTCTACAAGATTATCGACGGCAAGGATGACATTGAACAGTATAAGAACGGCTTTGTGAATCTTGCACTTCCGTTCTTCGGTTTCAGTGAACCCATCCCTAGCCCCAAGGGCAAATACCAGGGCAAGGAGGGTGAAGTGACCATTGATCAACTCTGGGATCGCTTCGAAGTGGACGATATTCCTTTGCAGGACTTCCTCAAGCACTTCTCTGACAAAGGTTTGGAAATCAGCATGGTCAGCTCAGGAGTGAGCTTGCTGTATGCCAGTTTCTATCCCCCTTCGAAGGTGAAGGACCGTCTCCCATTGACGTACGTATTCTCTTAATCCCAAATCCTCTACTATATTCATTAGCTAACCTTGGTACGTAGGATGAGCAAATTGGTGGAGCATATCAGCAAGAAGCCCGTTCCGGAGCATCAAAAGAACATCATCTTTGAAGTCACAGCTGAGGATACAACGGAGGAGGATGTCGAGATCCCTTATGTGATGGTGAAGCTGAGGAAGTAATGTGTCGGATCTACATAAATCTGAACGCTAGAATATGGTACCTCAAGTTTATAAACAATGATATATGACTTTTTCCTTCTTCAAGACGGCACACGTTCGCCTTCGTGCTTTTGCAGCGTAGAACAGAACATGTTTCACACCTGACAGATGATCTAATCTTGAGAAACATATAGATCTTCTCGGAGGGTTGTTCGATTAATCAACCATCTTCTAATCAACAGGTAAGCTCCAGGGGTCGGAAGTCTAGGCCGACCGGAGCCGAGTGCTTTGTCAGGTGTTATGTGATTCCGCCGTAAGCAGCGGGACCAACGTCATACATAGGCTGTCCCCGCCATTGGTTCTCCAGCAATATAGTTCTGGTCGTCGATGGCTACTTAATTCCTGACAACGCTGCCCCTCCCTTCAACCCCTTCCCATGTCTCGTCTTTTTTCTGCACTGCGTCGAACCCAACAAATCTCGCAGTTGATCACCCAACCCAGAATCCTCACATCCTACAGAAACTCCGTCAGCCCCGCACAGCTCCTCCCCTCTTCAACGCGCAACATGTCGGTAAGTTCATACCAATTGCTCATGAATTAGCTTTTAGTTTCTTACTGAGATTATATCACCACAGACTGGTAATGCCGATAAGATCACCGACTGGGTCAGTCGCAATGACAAATCGGGCGAGTTCAAACGCCAGACTTCAGCCTTCCGCAATTGGATCTCTAGAGAGCCAGGCGCGGAATTCCCCCCGGAAAAGGGCCGTTATCATCTCTATGTCTCCTATGCTTGTCCATGGGGCGAGTAATATCCTTTATATTCTATTTTGTTTCTGTGTTGTCGGTTCAATTTCAATCGCTAACACCATCTCCAGCGCATCGCACATTGATCACCCGGAAGCTCAAGGGTCTGGAAGATTTTATCTCCTTCACATCCGTGCACTGGCACCTGGCGAGAAAGGTCCGGAACTTCCAAGCCTAATAAGCAAGAAACGAGTGAACTAACCAACGACTCCAGGTTGGCGCTTCGTGACCTCAGACGAGAAACTTCCCGGAGAAAACACCACCCCAGACCCATTACACTCTGATGTCACCCACCTCCGGGACATTTACTTCGCCAACGACCCAGACTACGCAGGCCGATTCACCGTCCCAGTTCTATACGACAAAAAGACACAACGTATCGTAAGCAACGAGGTAACTTCAACCTCCCCAGCCCGCCAGACAACCCCATATTAACCCAAATCTCCCTCCTCCAGAGTGCCGAGATAATCCGCATGCTCTACTACGAATTCGACGACCTCCTCCCCTCGAACTCTTCCCAAAAGCTTCTCGACCTCTACCCAACCAAGCTTCGCAGCCAGATCGACACCTCGAACGAATGGATCTACAACGATGTCAACAACGGCGTCTACAAGTCCGGCTTCGCAACCACCCAAGAAGCCTACCAAAAGAACGTGACGACGCTCTTCTCCTCCCTCGACAAGATCGAAGAACACCTTCAGAGCAATGCCTCGCCGTACTTCTTTGGTTCAGCGCTCACTGAAGCGGATATCAGGCTTTTTACGACGATCGTCCGGTTTGACCCCGTGTATGTGCAGCATTTCAAGTGCAATATCCGTGATATCAGGTCCGGGTATCCTGCTATTCATCTCTGGTTGAGGAATTTGTATTGGGATATTCCGGCGTTCCGGGAGACGACAGAATTCGAGCATATCAAGTTTCACTATACGAAGAGTCACACGCAGATTAATCAATTTGCGATTACACCTGTTGGGCCGGTGCCGGATATCTTGCCGAAGGATGAGGAGGTTAGGGCTGTTGCTGCCGTGAAGAAGTAATGTGGATAATGGAATGAATTTCTTTCTGCACGATATGTCGATGACTAACTCTTGGATGGCCGACGAGCTGTAAATGAAAATGATTATGCTTTTGTTTTAGTAAAAATATGTTCTAATGTCACTGCGGTAAATGGCATGGACCGAAAGCCTTCGCAGGTCTAAATATATGTAAATATAGAGTAGGCCGCCCATATTTGGACAGTCGGGGAATCCAATAGGTATACAAATGGAAAAGCAAAGTGACGATATAAGCAAAACTCCGTAAATATGCTTTGTGGCACGATGTCGTGCCATGCAAGTGAGCTCAATTATGCAGTCCGGCCGATATGTTGTGTCCTAGAACACGAATGTAGATTTTCACGTTGCCGGGAACGGAACGAGAATAGCAAGGTCGTTCGAAGACTATGCAAAACTGGGAAACGCAAAGGCCTCCCCGCTATCGAAAAAATAGTAAGCAAAAGGTGGAGATCGTATTTCCATCCAAAAGCGATAGGGGTGCCGTAGAGTGAATGGCTTGAAAGGGTATCTTGACAAATGTTCGAAATATCAATTAAAATAAGCTGGAGGATCGAATAGCAACCGGAATGAGAAGACTCCGAGCGTTATGAGCCTCTGTTGATTCTTAGGCTGGGCCCAGGCCGTAAAGTCTTTTTCTTAGCTTTACCTCAGACCAAGCATTCGTTTCGAGTTTTCATACACGACGTAGCTGATGGATACGGCAGGTGCAACCTTCATAAGGTTCGGAGTGATCCCCTTGTAGAGACCGCGGAAACCTTCGGTTTGAATAGTTTTGCGAGCGACGTCGCCAATGCTACTATAGGTTGCGGGGTGGAGAATGGTGCCCTGGGCCTGTAGTCGTGTTCGGAGGACGTTCAGTGGATAAACAACAGAAGCGCTGAATCCTCCGCTTATCGCGCCAATGGCTCCCGTGGTGAAATTGTTCAGTGGGACATCATCCTCGTGGCAGTGATGGAGGCGAGCTTTCCGTGCTAGTAATCCGCGCTTTAGGTACTCGAAAGTCGTCAAGTCGATGGCGGCATATGGAAACATGCCAACAAGACCAAGAGGCAAGCCGCGAAAGAAGCCGAGTATGCCATGCTTGTTCAAAACCTTTCGGGCAGTGGCTGCGATGAGTTTATTCCCTTTCAGACCACCTTCCACAGTCTCACATTGCATCCGACTGTCAAGATCCATTAGCCTCAGATGAACATGTCCAAAAGCTAGATGCATCAGGTGACTTACAATTTTAAAGTGTCAAGGGGATAAACGAAACATCTAGCACTTCGTTAGGTGACGGGTTCATCCACAGAAGACTGTACAACATACTGAGCCACCATTCCACCACACCCTCCAGACAGGAACTGCGACGTCGGTGCAAGACGTTTAGGGTCATTATGACCTTCAAGACGAGCGAACGCGCGTTTAGCAGACTATGATATATTAGTGCCCTGCTAGAAACCCACTTCAATAGCTCAACAAGCTAACCTCATATGCTCCGAATTTAATGGCTGATTCAGGCATGACCTTCAACACATTCAACCCATTACCTATGACCATTAGATCGGGTCTGCGTTTCAAACTTCAGTCGACGAACCTGCAAATAAGCTCCGTATGCCTCCAGCACGCCACAACTCCTTGATAGCATCCCCAAGGGATTTTGATGCATTCCCTGCCGCCCGAAGCGGAGCACCATCTTTCGCCGCACAGACAGCTGCCGATTTCGCACCGGTCTGGGCAATGAGATAGACTTTAAGTCTATCTAGAGGCGCCGTTGCTGTCCTTGATACGGCACCTGCAATCCCGCCGGCAATGAAGTAACCTAATTGAGGAGTGTTCTCTGTCAACTTTCGTTCATAATATCGGAAGGACATCCACATGGCGACAGTCCTGGGTACGGTCAGCCACTCCAATTCGGAGTCACCGTCTAAGGATACAGAATCATTCTCAGGCGCGACCCCAAAGTTGAGTGCTCCGCCGACTTCCGCATAAGCTGACGGGATGAGGGCTGCCAATGCGTGAACTGGGAGAATATTGTACAAAAGGTTCTTTATGGCCAAGATATAACGCTTAGGAAACGAGTGGTCTGTACCTAAACCCTGTAGATCATTGATGTGGACATCTCCTTCCGGGTTTAGATTTCCCGTGGCCGTGTAATATGACAGGACAGCGCGCAAGTTGGAGTAGGCAGGCAGGAAGAGAAGGAAATCCCTATATATCACCGGGATTAGCCATAGCCAAGGTTCACTTGACCGATGAAGCACGTACCTCCACTCCGGATAAGAAATGACACCATCACTGTTCGTGTCCACGTCCGCAAAGAATGCGTCCAGTTTAGCGCTGGATACCGTCACGTCAGCGTTGGAAAACGCGGCTTTGAGTTCGTTCTTGTCGATTTCACCATTGTGGTTACGATCGATCGCCTGGAAAAGCTGCCATAATCCTTGTTCGGTATGATCGATAAAGGTCCGGAATTCTGATGATCATTAGGTCGGTAAAGAGACTGGCGTCCAGCCAGTTGCGACGGGAAGACAAGTCATGATCCACTGCGTGTGATCTTACCGGAGTAATCAATATACCCGTCACCATTGGTGTCAACCGCTTTCAAGACATTCTGAAGCATGCTATCCGCATTTTTGAGGGCTGTGGGGTAACAAATCAAGAACAGGCGGGTCAGTCAGCTGCGCAGCAAGCACGAGACTAAATCACGGCGGATGATATGCTCACGGTGATCAATCCTTTTCAGCCCTTTTTTCAAACCATGGAGATCGAGACGGCCGTTCTGCCGGACACCTAAGCTCTGCCAGAGTTTCGCGACTCTTTCGTCACGCTCATCTTTGGATTCGCCGGGTGCCATTTTTCGGTTGTAAATTTATCATCGGCTATCCGACATTATTTTCAAGGAGGGGTCACAGGACTTGAGAGCGGAGATGTCCCTGTCAAAACAGGGTGGTAATAGGGTAGACTGCGATAATAGCTTGTGCATCGAATCTGTGGAGCTGGTTTATAAAGAGAGGAGAGGTTCCGCATACATTGGTATGTTCTCTGGATGGGGCTCCGGCTAGCCGTGAGAAATCAACCCGCGATGATTTGCTTCTCTTACGACATACGCCGGAATAAACCTCGACTCCGGTCCGGCCTCACGGGACTGGAGGGCCCAGCCCTACTATACCACTTTGGGCAATTCATTAGGTCACCTGCTCGAACGTCTTGATGTGGATGATATCAGTATACATATGCGATATTTTCGATGACCTAAGGAAACAGTCGGATTAGGTGACTCTAGCGCGCGGTTTCTTGTCTATAGTGTTTCTTTGTGCCGATAGAATCGGGTTGACTCGGCCGTTACAGGAGCTCCGAATATTTGGATGACACATACATCCCTGATTATCATCGGGTCTTCATAATGACAACGATTTCAGTCACGACTGCTTGAAAGTCTCGAACCCTTTATTAATTAACTTTTTCTGACCATTTGTCATTGTCATGGCTGCCAATTATTGGGCGTCGACTCAACGTCGACATTGGTTGTTTACGAAAGAAAGATTGGCAGACATTCGAGAGTCCTTTAGAGAGAGAGACAAGGCCGCGCATTCGCAGTTTCCTCTGCCGGATCAGAGGCTGCTCAACATCTACTTTAGTCAACGTGAGATCTGATAACCTTTAAAGATCTCAAATAGAGTTTTAGACTGAACACTTCAACAGAACTCATAAAGCTTGGAAAGAGGATGTCAACTAGACAGCAGGCCCTCGCCACGGCTCAAGTATACATCAAACGGTTTTATACTAAGAATGAGATAAGACATACAAATCCGTATCTGGTGGTCACCACTGCATTCTATCTCGCTTGTAAGATGGAAGAATGTCCTCAACATATCCGGTTTGTGGTCGCAGAGGCCCGTAACTTTTGGCCCGGTACGAACAGCCTTGAGGATAGTCTTCTTTTTGTTTGTCGCTGACTTGCCAGTAGAGTTCATTGCCCCGGACGTGTCAAAGCTAGGTGAATGCGAGTTCGCTTTGATATCCGAGATGAACTCCCAGCTCATCGTTCATCATCCATATCGGACTTTATCTGAGCTCCAACCGGAGCTATCGCTTACATCAGACGAAGTAGCTCTGGCATGGTCGGTAATCAATGATCACTATCTTACTGATCTACCATTACTATATCCACCTCATGTGATCGCGGTCATGGCAATCATTGTTGCCGTTGTCTTCAAACCGAGCCAGACGAGTTTCCATGGGACTGCTGCCCCATTGGCCGGAGCGATGCGAGATGGAGGGATGAATATCCTCGCAGCTTTGGGAGATAAGAATGGCGCTGGCCCGCCTCCTCGAATTCAGAAACTCGTTGGCTGGCTTGCCGAGAGTGAGGTCGATATTCGAGCTGTTATTGAATGCACCCAAGAGCTGGTGTCTCTATATGAGATCTGGGAGAATTATAGCGAAAAGCACTGCAAGGAGCTTCTTGGCCGGATGGTGAAGAGTAAGAATCTGGACAAGTGAGATTATGTGATGACTCATTATACTGGCTCACATTTCTAGTAAAATCGGGGCGTTTTGCTTTTGCGTTGCATTTGGGGAGTTTGGGTAGCATTACATATGAAACATGCCATGCGCAGTGTCACAGCAGCAGTTGTAGATACGTCTTTATTCGGTATGTGAGCCATTTATATATATAGTACTGCAAATTTGATAAGCTGGCATGATTCTTTTGTCCTTAGGCTCTTCATAGAGGCGTATATTACTGACAACAGCTTTTGGTTTCACCCCTTTCAAAATGGATATCAGTCATTTTCAGCGTCCATCGAATAGATCACCAACAATGAGTCAATCGAGTGCATATCTGGCGATTACATACCATAAGATAGCCACTAAGATGTCCAGGGCGCTCCGTAATGCCATATCGACGATCTAAACGGATTTGACACAAGAATACATGCATCTACTAAAGAAGCTTTGACTGAACCTAAGTGCAACACTAATGTCTAGGGTACTCGTGGGTTTCAAGGCCAATGCCAGATGAATAATCAGCTTAGCAAGCATTCGAGGCACGTGTATGCATAGACATATGCCTTATGCAATACTTAATTAACACTATGGCCTGGAATTTGTAGCGGCATCTCAAGTGATGGGATTTGTAAGCTAC